TGGCTCAATAAGAAGCTGACAAAATATACCAAGATCCAGGTCTATAGAGCCTGTGTCCTGAGCACACTCCTGTACTGCAGTGAGTCCTGGACCCTTTGTGCACGGCAGGAGAGGAAGCTGAACACTTTCCATATGTGTTGCCTCTGATGCATTTTTGGTATCACCTGGCAGGACAACGTTCCAAATAGAGTAGTCCTAGGACGAGCCGGAATTTTTAGCATGTATACTTTACTGAAACAGCGACATCTACATTGGCTTGGGCATGTCGTGAGAATGGCTGATGGTCGGATTCCAAAGGATCTCCTGTATGGAGAATTACTGCAAGGAAATCGCCCCTGAGGGAGACCACAGCTGCGATACAAGGACATCTGCAAGTGGGATCTGAAGGCCTTGGAAATGGACCTCAACAGATGGGAAACCTTGACGTCTGAGCGTTCAGCCTGGAGGCAGGCGGTGCATCATGGCCTCTCCCAATTTGAATAAGAGACCCTTGTCCAGTAGGCTGAGGCAAAGAGGCAGTCCCGGAAGCAGCAAAACCAGGGAGCTGGACAGGGGACAGATTGGATTTGTCTTCAGCATGGAAGGGATTGTCACTCTCGAATTGGCCTTCTCAGCCACACTAGACGCTGTTCCAAGTCAGAGCACGTTACCATCATCTTTCGAGACTGAAGGATGCCTTACTAATACCTGCAAAGAGATCAGCTTTCCACCTCTGGCATTAATTTTAAAGTAGTCTGTCGTCCTCTCTCAAAAAACCTTACAGATTATGACATGCAGACAACACAGTACGTTGGAACTACTCGTGGCTGTTGTAGATGGAGAGCTTGTTTCGCACGGCCTCCCTCCCACCTTCTGTGTCTTGGTACTGGAAGGAGTTCTAATTTCAAACTTCTCTTTAAAAGGCAACCTTCCTTTTCTTCAAGAAATCTGATTCTCTTTTATGGACTCTTTAAGAAGCCCATTTCTCTGTTATCTTCTGGAGACTTTTTTTTAAAAGTGCTCCTTTAGTGTTAATTGAAAGCTTCCAACCAGAGGCTATTACTGGGACACTAGCTGCACATGGAAAGTACTAAACTCTGCTCCTGGCACAAAGCCTTGCTGAAAATAAATCTTGCTATGAGAAGACTTGAAAAAGAAGTGAAAAGTCACGGGGAAAACCACAGTACAATGTGAGATAGGAATAACAACATATCAATGATGGGGGAAATGCTCTTTACATCAGTGCAGAACATGGCACTTTAAGGAGGAAAAAAATGTTCCATTTATAAAAGCCCTTTGATAGACCACGGACTCTCAAAGCCCTGATAAAGAAGAATAAAATTCTAGTTTGATGCTGAAATGTGTCTGTCCTTGGCGCCAATTGGGCCTTGAAGGAAACAGCATTCCACCAGGGTAATGTGAGAATGGAGATGTGTTTTCCACCTCTCCACCCGAACTATTCCTGCTACTGATGGGACATAAGGATTTTTTTTTTTCTTTAGTAAAAATAAACATGTGGGTAAAACCTGGAAGATCAGCCAACCAAAGTCAATGGACTGAAGCTAGGCTCAGCATGGGTGACGGGAAGTGGCCCATACATTGCTAGCTGATTTATTGAGTAAGGCATCGTATCCTTTCAAATACAGTACAGGAAACATGCTCTTGTTGAGATCTCATTGCAGCTTTGAAATGTAACCATAGATATTAGGATTTTGCAATTTCCGTGTTTAATATAAGACAGGGTCTTATATTAATATTTGCTCCAAAACATTCATTAGGGCTTATTTTCAGGGTATGATTTATTTTTTTCATGTACAACAATCTATGTTTATTCAAATACAGTCCTGCCATCTTCTTATGGTTGCTGCATAAGGGTGGGTGGCAGAGTTTCACTTAACTGGGGCTTATTTCGTTGCTGCATAAGGGTAGGTGGCAGAGTTTCACTTAACTAGGGCTTATTTTTGGGGTATGGTTTAATATTACGAGCATCCTGAAAAATCCTACTAGGGCTTATTTTCAGGTTAGGTCTTATTTTTGGGGAAACAGGGTATATAAATACAGTACTGCCCACATATTTCTTATGTATAGCAAAGCCAGTATATAGTGTCCCTTTATGAAACATAGGGAAGACAGCCAGTATCTGAGAAGTGGTGGAGAACTTTCTCTTAGGAATATGTAAGGAGACCTATTACAGGTTTAGGAAAGTGTTTATTCAATACTGGCCCATAGAGACAAGCGAAAAGACAGTCTACCAAACCAAAGATGGTACGCAGCTATATAGGAAACACATAAAGGGCCTTAAAATGAGTAAATCGAATTGGTAGGTTCCCAGTTTAAGTTGGTATTCCTTTGAACTTTCTTTCCCAGGAAATTCTTTTGAAATTCAGGATTACGCTTTGATATTCCTCCAGGAAGAAGCCTGAGTATTTTATTGTTTTCACTTCAGGATTACGCTTTGATATTCCTTCAGGAAGAAGCCTGAGTATTTTATTGTTTTAACATATCTTTGCTAAAGACAATGGCTTCCTCCCCATGACTCATTGAGGAACACCATAGACTGGGCTTCGCTATGCATAAGAAATACGTTTGCTATATTTTTGTAATGGCTAAATCCTAATAGATACAGTATGGTTGTATTTCAAAGTCGTAATGAGGGAGACCTCCACATGCTCAGCAAGGAGCAGTGAAAACAAATAAATAAGCCTTAAAACATAATAAGATTATTTAAATCTAAAATCAAGATAGCAAAGTATTTAAATTAGTATGTGCATGTTAATAAAATAGAGATTTGTAAACTCACGCATATTAAAGGCAACTACCTGGCTGATTCAACAAACACCTTGTCTTTCGTTTCTATAAACTGGCCACTTTGACTGCTAAATCCCAAATCAACTACATTCTTATGAAAGAAAATTTAATTTTTCTTCAATCATCCATTTTCTCATTCAGTCAAGAGGCAGAGATAAATATTTCCTATAAGTATAATAGGCAGCCCAGCAAACAGTGGAACAGACCATCCATTCTCTTTATTCCACATATACAAAGTCTATCTTGCACTGGAAAGCCAGAAAATTTTCTGCAGCATAATTAAATAACAGAATTTCCTGCAAGAAGATAACATCCATATGCATTAGATCAGATGGTTTTTACAAAACAGAACAGGACACAGACTTGTAATGCAACAGTACTTTTTTTTTCTTTTAAAAGCCTAGATCTCAAAGCATTTTCAAGACTAAATCAATCCATTCCACTGCCAAAACAATGGCATTTCAATTAGTTTTTTAAAATTAATGGTAAAAGATTGATGTTTGGGAACTGCTAGAGGCATTGTAACCTCTGAATACCAAATGCTGGAGATAAATACTGTACCACTAATCGCAAGAGTTGCTTTTCAGCTTTTGGAGTAACTTCACGATAATCTCAAAGATAAACTTTTGAGGCTTCATCAGAGCTTGGAATCCTTGCTTTTTGTTGAATTCCAACTCACAGAATCCCTTTGGCAGGATGGCCAGTGGCCATGATCCTGGAAGTTCTTATTTTAAAAAGAGACCTTTCCAAGTTCTGGGTTTAATCCAGCAGTTCTGCAGCCAGAGTTGGACTTGACCAATATCTAGGTCCCCCCTTGGCACAGTCCAGGGAGGAGCCCTCAGTGAACATCCAAATTGGACATCAACAGATATGGGTGTGCCATGGCTCACCAAAATGGGTGATGGCTGCCACAGTGTTCTGTTTTTTTAATAATAATAATAAAAACAACAACAACAACAATAACAATAACAATAATAACAACAACATGGTAATAATACAGGAACAATAACAATAACAATAACTGTTGTTATTGCTGTTGTTGTTGTTGTTGTTGTTGTTGTTGTTGTTGTTATTATTATTATTA